CTCCTAAACCCTAAACCCTGACTTTAGAAAACAACAGTAGCAGACCGAGCGCTCTTCCCGCTGTGGCCCAGACGTTCAGACTCGACCCAACTCCTTGGTTCTTAGGATTGGGGGGTCTGGGGTGGAGAGTTTAGGATTGGGGCTCCGGGTTCAGAATGTGTCGTGTTTAGGGCCCCTAAACCCTAAGCTTATAATCAGGATTATCCAACATCATGTTAGTATGAGGTGCAGGGTGTACAGGCTTTGCAGGGCTGCAGGGCTTAGGGCCGTTTTTTTTTTTTTTTNNTTAGGGGCTTAGGCTTTAGGGGTTTAGGGGTCTAAGGTTTAGGGTTTCATCGGGTTGCCTGCTGTAACTTCGGGATTATAGGCGTTAGCTTCTGGCGACTAGATAATGTCCATTCCCGTGACACGGCAGCGAAGAACACTGTTCTACTGTGTAGGGTTTAGGCTTTAGGGTATTTTGCAAAACACACTGTCCTACGTTTAGGGTTGAGGGCTTGGGGTTTAGGGCATTTTGCACGAGAAACACTGTTCTACTGTTAAGGCTTTAGAGTTTGGGGTTTAGGGTATTTTGGGGAAAATGGCGTACTGCTTAGTACTTCGTTTCTTGGTAACATCAATGCTGTGCCTTCAATCGCGGTGGGTTTGCCGGGCTTTGGGTTCAGGGCTTCAGGCAAGTAGCGCGCAGCTGATAGGATTTCCCTCAGGGTCCACCTAGGCCTTATATATATATATATATATATATATATATGGGTTTTGGTAACCATAAGGGCCCCCAACCCTAAAAAACCCTAAACCCTAAACCCTAGACCCCTAACCCCCTTAACTCTGAACCCGAAACCCTAAACCCCTAAACCCTACACCCCTAAACCGTAAACCCTAAAAGTAATGAGTACTTGGCCCCATCGGATTTAGGCTTGGGGAATTGAGGCCGGGCCGCTTTGACTTGTCAGGGTCCTGTTGCAGGGAGCTTCGAGTGTCGAGAACGGCTTGTGGAAAAGAGCACCACCATAATCAGGGTTTAGGGTTTAGAGGTTTAGGGTTTAGGGTTTAGGGATAATTACATCCTTTGGCGCAAGTCTTTTTTGCTAGTTGGGCCCATGGCCTGTGCAGGAACATGCTCTTGTGAGAGCCATTCTTTAACTGCTGCACCCTAAATCCCTGAACTCCACTACGCCTACAATTCAGGAGTTCAGGATTGGACGCAGGATTTCTCTTGGGGTGTAGGAATGCAGGTTTGGAGACCAAGCCACGAAGCCTAAACCTTCCTACCTCCGAACCCTTCTACACCTCTTTCTCTTCCAAACCCCGCTCAAGCCCTTAACCCTACACCCCTAAACCCCAAACCCCTAAACTTATAACCCTACACCCCTAAACCCCAAACCCCTAAACCCCTACACCGTGAAAACCCTGCAAACCTGTGTGAGGCTGGGATCTGCTAGCCGGGGCGCAGAGTGCAAAGCCCGGCCGCCTGACCCCCGTAGCAGGCGTTGTACTGGTCCACGCCCTGGGGTTTAGAGTTTATATAGGGTATATACTATAGAGTTTATGGGTTTAGGGTTCACATACGTGTTTGGGTTTAGGGGTCTAGGGTCTAGGATTTGTTGAGATAAGGGTTTTGTACCATGGGAGTCATGGCATGATCTGTAATTCGGAAGATGCAGGAGCTTTCAGCAGCACTGTCCTTTCGCAGAAGCCCAAGTGGATTCCGCGAACAAACCACACCCAACAGGTCAAACCCTGCACAACCTACATTGAATCTACACCTAATGCAGATTGCAGAGCGCTGATAAGGTCAACTCCTGTCTTGAAAGGGCGAAGTAGTAAGATCCCTACCATAGAATCCTCAGAAGGAGGCCGAAGGGTTCATAAATCAGGGGTTTAGGGTTTAGGGTTTAGGGTGTAGGGTTTAGGGTTTAGAAGTGTAGGGTTTAGGGACCACCCAAATCTTCCAATGAATCTGCCTTAATGACGGAATAGACCTTTACTGCGAGATTATATGGATCACTAATACGGCTGATGACATGAAAATCCTGCATTACCCATAACAAGGAATATACCACAATTCCCATAGTACAGGGTCCTTAAGGTAATGCAGGATCTATATCATCCCTAAACCCTAAACCCTAAACCCTGAACCCTAAACCTATAATATGAGTCAGGGCATACGAGGTTGGCCCAAAGAGCCTCTGAAACCTATTCGTAAAGAAAGATCCTCTTCAGCCCAAGAAGGGGGAAAAGATGACAGCTCCCAAAGGCCTACCTCGTAGCTTCCTTCAAACCCCAGACCCTAATAAACCCTAACCCCTAAACCCTAAACCCTAATTAAAGCCTAAACCCTAATTAAACCCTAAACCCATAACCCCAATTAAACCCTAAACCCTAAACCCTAATCAAACCCTAATTAATGTTGTCGTCCCTTTAATAATC